CTTTTGGCGTTTCAAATTCAATACAATTGAAGTAACTGGTGACCAATTCTTCCATTGTAAAATAATAAAATAACAGAAAAAGACATCAAATGTCTCCATACTGCTCGTGTGGTGTCATCTGAGTGTCCGTAATCCCTGATATTCAAATTCGACTTGAAACTATGTAATTTATGTTTTTAGTCTAAATTTACTCTGATGTCCTCCTCCTAGTTCTCGCAATACTTATTTCTTAGTTCTCACCAGAAACTCCAAAAGTGTTTTGTGGACTCAAACACCTTATCCCTCCATCAGCATAGTGGTGAGTAAATAATGAGTTCATTTTCATTTTTGGGTGAACTATCCATTTAAGTTTGTTCAGAAGTGAATCATAAACTTCACAGCCCACACGGCAAAATTGTTCTGGCCCAGATTTGTTTACCACATGGGCCACTTTAGGTTCAAATCCAGATCACGCCTCAGCTAGAGCACTGCGTGTTGGCCAAAAAAGGCCCACGTTTGTTTTGGGACATTTTTTTCACATTCGCTATTTTCACAAGTGTAGGCTCACATCCATTTTGTTACGGCCACAAGAAGGCCAGATGTGGAACACCATTGCCTGAAGTGGTCCACATCTGTATCTGGGAGGGCCCACGCCAGGATTTTGGAGAAACCCAGGTCAAGAGTGAACCTGCAAGTTGTTACGTCCACCTTGTCCCAGTTTGTTTATTAGCTTTTTAGATTATTCAAAAATTACTGAACGGCTTTACACAAAACTTGCTTGGACGGGACGTGGGCCAGGAAAATAAAATGTTGAAAAAAATCAAGAATATCAAGCGAACTATACGTTACATTGTCAGAATTGTTCTCTGAGTGAAGAGACTATGTCTCCACCCCCATTCATATGGACTATGTATTTTGGTTGAGCTATAGTCTTGATACAATAGAAGACTATAAACGAGTGTGTGAAATTTGGTGCAGCTTGATTGAATTTAAAGGAGCTGTTGGGTAAAGCAGATTATCCAGGAAATGTCTCTCTTTATGCAGCAATAGTTCAAGATTCAAACCAATTTATATATTGATGTTAACAAGAGCAAAGCAACACATCTGTACAGGAAACAGCAAATGTTTGGCCAACTACTTGGCCTTCTGTTTGGTCTATTTATCTAATTTGGTGCCTATCAATAATTGCTAATCAATAGTTGATTAGCCTCCTCAAAAAAAAATCCCATGCAGCCTGGCATTTCAGGAACGATTTAGATGTCTGTAAAATCCTGAACCTTAACAGATGTTTTTTCACTGCAGACATTTTGTTTCATGACAGCAGAGAAACTGAATGAATCAAACATGGCTCTGTCCCCCACTTAGGTCTCTGGATTTAGAATTGGGATGCAGCCGTTATTAATGTCACGAAGAAAACCTGCTCTTCTTGGAATGCGTCATGTTAACATGTCTGTAGTGGAAAAGGTCAGTCAACGTGCAGACACGGTGTATGGTTGAGTTTTAATGACTTCACTTCACAGTCTTCCAGTTCGACTCTCGCTCAGCTGGTTGCTATAGTCGCAGTGCGAGGAGCAACAAGGAACATTTGATCAAAACTTTCTTTGTTTTTTCTTGCTTTGTCAATTTTGTTTTACGCCCACACCGACTTCACTATGTGGTTCAGTGGCATCAGTCTGAGGAGTTGACACCTTTATCATTGTTATAAGAGCACAGAGATTAGTCACATCATTTGTTTCCTGCAGAACTTTAACTTGAGTGGGAGTTTAATAAGCCTCAGTAATCGGAATCACCTCTGTTGGTTTGCTGGGCTTGTAAATATGTTTATTTACTATAGTTTAATTATCGAGATACTGTGTTTTCTCTCTTTTGTTGTATCGTCATCTCAAAACCACACACACACACACACACAGGGTGCATCATGACATGGGAATTTATATTTGTCACTTGTATTTTCTTGCTGCAGATGTGTGAAGACTCAGGATAAAAGAAAACTGTTTCTTTCATGGATTTATAAAGGTTGTAAAGAGCAGAATAATCCTGCAGAGAAAGCAGAAGCGTTTCAGCCCTGTCTAAACCTGACACAGTTTACCCTCTAAATTATGAGGATTGTTCAGTCCTGCACTCATATCATCACTGTGGCTCAGGAGGAAGAGCGGGTCAACCACTGACCAGAAGGTCGGTGGAAGGCCGACTTCAGTTTGCATGCCAAAGTGTCCTCGGGCAAGACACTGAACCCAAAATTACATATTTAATATGAATGATGTGTGACAGAAAAAAAACTTTTATATGGAAGTGCTGTATGAATGTGTGTGAAATCATTACATATCAATGCAACCAATTTTACTTTATTTGGTATTTTTGTACCTGAATAATCAAGAGCAACAATGTGGGTTAGGATTCTTTACAAAACACATTTAACTCTTAAAATAAGTTAATTAATTCTATTTATGTTATGAGGCCCACAATTCTGGCAGAATGGGTGTTGGACTTTCTGTATATGTGGGAAACTGTATTTCCGACATCCAGTGAAGGCAGCATTCATCCAGATGAACTTTGATCAGTGCACATTTGTGACAGCGAACACGTTTTTCTCCCAGAGCTAAAAAACTGCAAAACCAACAGAGAGTCACCCTGAATGTGTGTCACCACTGACAGTAAATGAAAGAGCATGTTTGTGGACAGTGGCTGTTATTTGATTTTTTTTACAGAGGATTTACTGCTGGAAACAGAAGCAAAGTGTCTGCAATTCACTGACACTGAAGAAGCTGCAGGTTTTTGTCTAATGGAATTTAGGTCCTGTGTTTTTTACTTCTTGTTTTGAGAGCTTAATATGTCCTTAAATATTTAGAATCTCCACGATCATGTTTTATCCTCTGAGGGAAAGAGCCCCCTGGCTTTCACTTCAGCCTGGGTGGAACTAAAACACACAGACTTGTGGAGAGCTGTGACCTATAATTTAGAGTTCCCACCCAGATGATTTCTGACTTCCACTTCCTAAATCACAGTTTTCTTTTTCCCTCTGTAGGTGCTTAAATTCACAGGAACATTTCTGAATAATTCAGAGCTCCTGCTGCTGTGAGGATAATTAGTTTATGGAGGCTAATGTTTGCTGAGATTAAAAAAACAAACATGATGTGTATAACCTGCCTTTGGTTACTGTTATTGTTAACATTAAATATTGTTAACATTAAATTGCTCTCGCGCTCACACACCCTCAGGAGGGGGAGCACTGCACTGTCTGTGTGTGTGCGTGTGCGTGTGTGTGTGCGTGTAAAGGATGATAAATTGCAGGTTTTCAATGAATGGAAGCTCTACAAAATATAAATCACATTGTGAGAATACTGGATAGACTGAGTAAAATTGTATTCACGCACTGTTCAATACACCTCATCTTGTTTTGTCACACTTTATTTTGCTTGCACAAACATGACTGTGTACCTTTATTACCTCTATTCTTCACTGTCATGTGTTCCAAAATGGCACTGATGCACAATTTGGTATGCACGCTGATTAGCTGCAGAGAGTCTCTGTTTTCTCTCTTGTAGCCTCAACAGGCAATTTATACCATGGTGAAATCCATCTACTGATACAGCTCCCAATTTGTTAAATACATGAAAGTTATGATGAACTCCTACAGCCAGAGCTTTACTTCAAACTCTGATGAGTCAGATGATTTAGTTTGAACAAGTGTGAGGAATCTGAACGTCTGCAGGCTTTTATTGATACTATCTTGTATGCGACAAGATCAGATGAAACATTTATTACAGAGATAATTCATCATATCTCCAAGATAAAGAAATGAATTATGTAAATTTGAGCCATTATCACTACAATTGTAATAATCCTATTTTCAGAATCAGGCAGTTTGCTCTGTGAGATTAAATCGTCAGTACCACAGCCAGTAGTTTTCCTTAAAATGCTGGCTACAACCGATCATTTTAATATTAAACCTCACAGCCTTTTAGTTCTGTTTCACCCTCCACCCGCAAATGAAATGTCATATTCATGCATCTGGTGTAAAATGCATCACCCCATTGTCATGCATCTCATTTAAGATGTCTTGAAGAAGGCCAGGTGGGGGATGGAAAAAGGCTGAGTAATTAAATATGATATCACTTCAGGATCTTGGCTTGGCGTATGTACATGGTGTACATTTGCTGAGACCGGGCTGAAATGTGTGGCTCTTCAAATCAAAGCTTAATTCTCCAGTTTGTTGCTTTCTTTGTCAGTCGTCTGTTTGTTGCCAAGCAGGTAGAGTACAGTCAGTTTGTATAGCTTTTTAGGCAAATCTGTCTGCTTAAAGTTGAGGCCACAAAACCAAAATAATGAGCCAATAGATATTAAAGAGGTTTTTAGGGCAGAGAGGAACTTCAGAGCCACAGCACCTCAACTACGAGGGACCTCTCTCACATGCAAGTTCTTACACAATCCATTGTTAATACAAAACTATTGCTGCATTAAGTCTGCATTAGTTTAAAGGTTGAAAGAGAACCTGTGGTAACCGTAGAGAGGACCCGCTCCTGATGTAAATATAAAGTATTTAAATAATATTTAAGGGCCCATTCCAGGGTAAAAAAATCACCAATCCATACAATTTAGATAAAACCCACTATAGTGAAAACATTGCTAGGATTATTTTATATGAAATTTCCGCCAATAGATCCCTTTCACCTAAATTTTACAGACTGGACCTTTAAGTATTTTACTCAATCATATTAGAGAATATCTAAATGAGCTATTACTATTACTTCACACATTAATGCATTTTGGTAGAAAAACACTCACTAGATTGATTCAATTAAGTCTCAGGAAAATGTGCACCACAGCCTGAAGTCATAAATGTGGCTGCTGCTCCATTCTAATGCTAATGAGGCCCCCATGCTTTCCTGGTTCACTTCAAGCAAACATTATGGTGGGCATTTGTGTGTGTGTTTCACAATGTGAATGAAAACAGCCTGAGGTTTATATGAAAAAGGTCTATTGTTGAAAAAGCCCACATGATTACATATACCCATAATTCTAACCATTGTTTCAGTACATTTGATTTGTGCTTGCTTCTTCCTTATTATAGCGGATGCTGCAGTTTTCCACATGTGATCAATACAGTTTCCTCTCATTCAGTGGACTGCAGTTCCTCAGTGCTGCTTATGAGAGGATCGATGCGAGGGAGCGAGGGAGAGGTCAGGTCTTGCGGTGGCTCCACAGTATAAAAGCCTTTCAGAGCGCCGCCGTTCGATAGCTTGTTAGTATGCTCGGCAATTTCATGACAGAGTCTGAAATACAAAAGAAGGCACACACACCATAAGTACTTATCTTGGAATAATAAGTCTGTTATAGGACTTGCACATATGTAGTGTTTGCAGTTCTAATGGGTATAACTCACCCAGGCTTGTGTTCCACTGGGTAAAATGTGTTTTAATCTTCCTCGATGTCTGGTTCACTGATGGATGTCGGCGGAAGTCTCAACCCGCCGTGCGTCGCTGACTGTAATTATGCCACGAGAGGAGCAGGCAAAGTTCATTTCAGTTCAACATTTGGACAGTGAAGACAGAGACAGGCGAGAACCTCACGTCGCTCAGATAATGAGATAATCATTCGTGAAATAATGCGGCTCACCTGTTGTTCCCCTCCATCAGCCTCGGCTGTGTAATGGATTTCATTAGACTGCCGTGCTTTTACATTTGTGGTTTCATGAGCTGGGATACTCAGAGGATGAATCAGAACCTCATAAGGGACGGCGGGGTGCATCCAGGAGGACTGGATGTGGGTGCTCCAGCTCTCAGTTTGCCCAAAGGTCCCTGTGGATCCAAACTCTGCATTTTAACGTTTCACCAGATTGTGACAGCAAGAGAGTGTGACACGCAAAACTGCGGCTTCTTCAAATGTCACAATGTCTGGATGCATTTGAAATCATTTTCTACAGTGGCGTCCTACTGTGCTGCACCCCCCTCTTTTGCTAACACACACACACAACTAGGAGGAGTATATGGGTGTACATTTAGGCTAAAAACATTGTGTAAATGATGCAGTCTTTAGCTGAATTTGAATGTTGGGACTACAGGAGCAGTATGGAGACATTTTCAGTTTTTTCTGTTGTTTCTATACGTTTGAAGAATTGGTCACTTTTTACTTCAATTGCATTGGATTTGTCTTTAATGCTGTTTACCCCTGAAACTCCAAAAGTGTTTTGTGGACTCAAACACTTCAGCTGCCAATCCATCGGCACAGTGGTAAGTAGATAATGAGGGAATTTTTATTTTTGGGTGAACTATGTCTTTAATCATCGTTACTACTTGTCAAACCCCTTGACCTAACCTTGACCTCAACCTTACCTTAAAACATGTCTGCACCTTAAAATGTAATGATTTACATAATGAAGACAAGTCCCCAATACCTGGACCACACACATTTGTAATTGTGCACATTTACTTGAAGACAGCAACCTGCCCAGGGTAAAAATACTTCATCACAAGTGAAAGTTCTGCATTAAAAATGTTTTCGTGTGTGTGTGTCTGTGTGTATGTTATTATCAACAAAACCTAATTGATACACTCTAAACCTGAGGCAAGGTAGTAATCTTGCGTAGGAGGTCTGATTATTCACCAGCTCTTAGAGAAAATATAATTAAACTGCCATGTAGTTTTCAGAGTGCACTGTACTTAATGGTTCTTCAAGTTGACAGGACACACTGCACAGAGTGTGGGAAGATTAAGCGGGCCACAGGGGCCAAACAGCTCTTTTTTTTTTTACCCCTGGGGCCCCTTGTGGGTTAAGCCAGCCATGTGAACAACATAGGCACAAAGAACTGCTTTACCTTGAGCACTTGCTCAAGATGAATGTTGCTAATGTTGCATGGAAATTGATGATGCCTGGAACGAGGGGACTGACGCATGCAAAACGACACCCACCTATGAATTCTCCACGTGAGCTCCACAGACGCACGGTGTAGTCTGTGGATGAGGTGAGCACCACTTGATCATTGTGAACAATCTGCAGGCTGGACCAGAATAAAGAGACATGAGACCAAATGGGAGAGGGCATTTCTGGCAGAGCACTCTAAATCATCCGCTGTGTTGATGCGTCTGATGGTGAATGCAGCCCGGGCAGCATCTCACCTGCAATGATCATCTGTTCGAGACCTTCCCACACACACACACAGTCAACTCTCACCCTCACTCAACCTCACACTTTGTCTGCGGCAGGAGGAAGTTAAGCTGTTTGTGCTGCCAACGACACCCCAGACTGAGAATGACTGGTTCCACACACGGGGAGTTTTAAGCGTTCAACAAGCTAAAGGTTAAGGACACAACCAAAAGCCGAATTGCTCTTTGACTGCAGTCGGTCAATGATTTTTTTTTTTTATCTGATGACAAGAGGAATTAAGTCCATGAAAAAGTGTCGGGTGTGAGGAGTCTGAATTTCACCTACCCAGAAACTCTGCTGGTGTGGGCACGCCAGAAGTTTTCAGCTTAATGAATGGGAAAAAATACTTTTTTAAATGTAAGCGAGCATGTTCAGTTGTCAGCACAGCTTCATATTTCCACTGCATGTGTAATTAAAGGCAAGAAAATAAAATAATGAAGCCAACCTCTGGGTGATTTTTGCTCGGGGGAAAACTTGCTCATGTTGAAAACGTAGATGTAACCAATATGGTCAGCAGCATAGAGCAACGTGTCCTCGTCTGTTTTAGCCAGTTTTGTTATTTTCTGCTGGAATCTAGACTGTGAAATGGAAATTTGGGGAAAAAATTCACAAAAATATACAAATGCCTGTACAATGCCACCAACTGCTATTTGTCATTGTTTGGCATCGGCTCTCTCTCAATCACACAGAATAAAATGTAGCACATTCCCCTGGATAATAGTCATCTCCAAATAAAATAATCAGGCAGGCAACACATGGTAGAAACTAATCATGAGGAAAGTAAGTCTATGTGAAAATGAGAGCACCTCATACTGTGAAGAGCCATTGTGACCAGTTAACAAAACACAAGTGGGACAGGATAGCATCGCACAAAGTTGTTGGGGGATTTGTGTGTCTCTTCTGAAAATCATTAACATTATTATGCTGTTTAGCCTGAAAAGACGCTTTCTGCTTTATTTGGGAGAATTTCATGAGCACATGTTTTATTTGAGCTTTGGGGAGGTGCCCCAATATTCATTCACATCCCGGTATTCAGGGTCTCTGCTTTGCAATGGCTGCAAGAAAGGCACCTTCCAGTTGTTTAAAAACTATGCAGCAAAGCACAGAGACTGAATTATTCTTTAATCAGCAAATTTGAAGAAAGAAAGCAAAGTGAAAGTGGAGCTCCGTTCCTTGACATTCAAAAGTCAAACTAAGGAACATTGTGGAATTAAAATATCTTACGGCTTTGAAGCTGCTCAGGAACTTTCCTCCGCTGAGCACTTGCCAGATATTAATACAACCTTTACGAGAGACAATACATAATTCACACTGCATTAAAAGACATTGTCGTAAAGTGAAATCATTTGTTATAATTAGTTATTAATCTCCTAACACTCACCCATGGCCCCGGAAGACAAGAGAAGCGTGGCAGAGGAAACCTTGAGGTTCTTCAGGAAAATGATGCTTGGAACACTTGAGTCCAGTCCTGCAGAAACACAATGTGCTGGTCACAGGGGATTTTTTTAATGAATGCAGCAGATTCATTCAGTTTGAAGCTCCAAAATGACCTTCAGCATTTTGGTATTCGGCTGCATGAGGGGTGACAAACCGACTCTGTATCCGTCCAGAAACCACATTCCACACGATAATCTCTCCATCATAGCTGCTGGTGGCCAAGAGAGACGGCGGGCACTGCGCCACACAAAGGATGTCGTCATTATGGCCGTTTTTCTGAAGAGAGACAAAATGTGAGTGTCTCTAATGGCTAGAACATATTAAAGTTTAATTCAGCCAAGTCAAAATAAAATGCAGTTCAACAGACAATGTGATCGAGTTATGAAGCAATCCTATCTTTGTTATGGCGGCAACAGCCAAATATCTCAAGAACACACATGGTTTCACACGTGCAGCTGGACGGAGGAATGAACTGAAAACATTTTAGTGGACAAAAGTCAGCTGTGGCCTCATAAAACACATTTTTTGAATTGCGAATGCGATATCTCAAGAACACCTCCAGGGACTCATTTAAAATTTGGTACAAATGCTTTTCAGTCTTGTGAACACAACATCTCAGGAGCCTTGAAGGATTTTTTTCCTTGGTTCACTTGGACTGAGAGAAGAAGTGATTCGATTTTGGTTGCTGAGGGTCAAAGGTCACCCACGACCTCCAGTTCTGGTGAAAGTGACATGTCAGGAACACTATATCAAATGATGCCATGAATCACTTTTTCCATCTCTTCAAAATGAAATCAAATGTGTTAAATTAGTTTTAACACATCCCAGCAGACATATAAAAAATGCAAATTATGTCTTAAATTGTATCTCTACTAAAACCAAGGTGCGAGAACAACAAGTTACTTTCCAGAGCCAACCATCAAGTTCCTCAGTTACCGACTGCTGCTGGTGGAGGCTTAAATTTATCAGACATTGCACAGACATAAGACATTTGACAGACAGGATGTTGTACGGGTTCTTTAACCTTATCAGTTTATAAATGATCAGGGTGCACACCTCAGAGAATTGTATGTCGAAGGGTTGCCAATTAAATATGGGGTTTTCTGAGGAGCTAAAGAGTCTCATTAAACTGCTGTGAGGGAAAAGGATGAAAATAATGTCAGAGCAGCTCTGTGCCCAAGTGTGCCACACATTCTGGTTAAGCTGAGTTGATATCAAACGCGTGAGCGAGCTGACAAGCCAAACATTACTCCTGCTGCCTCACACTGATACAACCTGATTCATCTTGTTCTTTATGTCCTTATTTTTCACTGAGCTCAACGGGAACGTTTGCTCAGAGCGACGCTGCAGACAAGGAGCTGTAGACAGCATGAGACAAACCAGCAAAAGCAGAAGGGATTTTTAGCCTCCATTATATTCCATGTCACTGCGAAACATTAAGCTGAACTGGGCCACGTTTTGAAATATTAATGAGATGCAACACAAGACTGACCATCTGGAGGAACAGAGGAATTCACAGTGAACCCGAGCCTCGGCGGATCAGAGGGGGGCCGATATTCAGTATATGGGACAAGCCATTGATCTTTCTCCTGCAGGCCATTAATGAAAAACAATTTCAAGAGAGGGCTCTGTAGATAATCAAAGGGGTCTCTTTTCTTCACTGCAAATCTAATGCAATCTTTTTGCTCTTTTAATGGGCCTCAGGGGGGGTTAGAGGAACCAGCAGCCATATTGAAAGAGATGACAGGGGAAGTCCTCGAATGGATCACTCAGCATCAGAGAATCAGCTTTCAATTCTTTACCTGTTGGAGGTAACATGGCCACATTACACAGGTGAAATTAGATAAAGAGGCTGTGATCTATTTGGAGACTGATCAAAAAGCTGAGAGATTGATTCACCTTCAGAGAAGTGGGCTGTTCTTATTATTGAGCTTAGGGGTGATTATAATGCAGTGAAGCTTTGCCAGATTATGAGCTGAAGTGGTTATTGAATCTTTTAAGCAGTGCAATATGTATTGTATCGTGAATTATTCATATGATGCCGATATGATAAATCTTAATTATTTGTGATGGTCTGCAGACTTTTCTATATGTTAATGTACAACAATCTGCAAAAGTAACGATGTTCCCATCATCATTCCTCTCCCTCTCCCTACATATGAAGTACCCCTTGCTGGGTAGTGTCCCCTCAATACAGAGCCACAGTCTTCACTTCGGAACTGGGACACCAGTCCGCTACGTCACCAGCAGCCAATTATTACAGTGACAAATAATATCAACTAAGGATAATATATAAACAACCATTATCAACCAACATTACAACCATGACTCATCCGACCACTATGCAGGACAAATAAACATAACAGTCAACATGTCCTCCACACTTGGAACAGTAGGTCCCCTACCCACAGATAAAACCCATAGGAGCTGACCTGTCACTGTAAAAATACGGTTAAGGTTTGTTCTGGGTTAAAATAACCACTGTAATGGTTACAGTAATAGACATGCAGTTAAGGCTAATGACCCATTCATCATCTCCAACCCCCTCCTTCCTGCAGCTTTTGTCATGTATGTGTCCACAATGTTTGTAAATGCACAGTAATCATGCAACAAAACTTTTGCAGCAAATTTGAGAGAGGAGGAAGAAATAAAATGAAGATAAAATACTGAGGTAGCCTCTTGAGACATTGTGGTGAGGGCACTGAGGGCATTTAGTGCACAGCCTGTGTACTGAACTGATAAAACCCTCCTCACACTTCAGTGAGAGCTCAGACTCTCAGAGCACAGACAACAGGTCAAAGCTTGGCTGCACTGGCAAAATCCATGTGATGGGAAGAGCTCAACAATGTGTGTGAGGAAAAATGTGACTCGATATGATCAATTGATAGTATAGTGCTGTAAATAGAATATACAATTATATAAAAATGAGAATAAACCTTTCAAAATATAGAACGTAATGAAAAATCTCAGAGCTGGGAGACTTGGAACAGGGAAAGAAGAAGAATGAAAGGGAGAGACAAAAGGAAGCTCACTGTTGGAGTTAAAAAAAATTCTGAAAGCAATGCTGAACAAAACAGGGCAGAGATCAGGGACACTTTGTTAACCATTTCTCTCTAAGCTTTTTCCAGACAGTCAGCAAAATCAATTCTTAGGACTGAGACCACTGTGTCCTCTGTGTGTCTGTAATGTGAAAATAGAAGCAGCAGGTAGGCTTCAACCTCATTGTCCTGTAGGTGCAACAGTCACCGAGGTAAAGAATGGACAGAACTGGCAAAGGACACCCAACTAGTCAAATATGATATTATATTAGTTTATTAGAATTCACATTTATGGGGCTAATTTGAATTGTCTTTACATTGCTCAGCTCTCTGATTTATAAGAATAGGTCATATTTTATAAGCTGATTATGTACATCCTCTCTTTCAATGTTTTATAATCTGAAACATGTCCCGCAAAGCTGTCAAATAAATGTAAAGGTGTAAAAAGTGACATAAAGTTGCATGTGCAGAACTTTGTACAAGGCCTGGTTAAATACACCAAGATCATTTCTACTTCTGGAAAAGGAGAATTAATAATTTTATGAGACCAAATGAAAACACGTGCTCCTACAATGACTGTTATAAATAGATAAATGCATTAAGGTGGAACATGGGTAACTGCAGAGCGAGCTGGCGCTGTTTATTTTCCCGATGAGTTTTTGGTCACATATTCAGTTCTCAACAAAAAGACACATTTTGTCCTTTTGATGCTTTCAGCAGAGAGAGTTGTGCTTTAGAAATGGTAGCGAATAACGACTGAATCCCTCAGATTTTTTTTCGCCGCTGTCATCGAGTCTCCCTGAAATACACGTCTCATGGAGAACACTAACTCAGAGCCCATCGGAAAAACAAAACATTTTCTGTTCATTACTCACCAGGTCGTCCTGCCACGAAGGCTGCGGCCTCTGGACATGACGAAGGTCCTCAGGCATGTCCAGGTAAAATAAGAGGAGACGTCCATATAATGAAAATAGTGGCTTGTAGAACCTCATATTAGCACATTCATATTCTTCTTATTAAACTGACAATGAGAAGAAGATTCATTTGAATGTGCACACTATTTCCCACAATTGTCTGGTTTTATAATGAAATTCAAAACAGCCGATATGTGGCATGAACTACCAATCTTTTTTTTCACTCCATCAGAAAGGACTTCAGCTGGAAATGACAAGGTAAACAAATGCAAATGGCACAATATGATGGAGGGGTGGAGGAATTGGGGAAATAATGGGAATGTGATTTTTGAAATACAACTGTCAAATAACACCTCATGTTCCGTCTTTTCTTTCATACTCACTGAGTAAATGTCAATGTTCCTGTCCCGGCCGACAGACATCACATAGCTTGAAAAAATAAATTGCACAAGCTCAACATGGATTCAAATTTACACTGAGCTGAGAACATCTGCCAGCAATCAAATCATGACTCACCCGTTCCTGTGAACTTTCATAAAGATGCAGTCACACACTTCGCGACATTCACCCACTACGCAGGAGTGAAAATGTTTTGTTTTCATAATAACTGGATAATGCAGTGTTTCAAACCTTTTTGTTTTCGGTGAGTAATTATATTTATAATACGCACCCTTCTTCAGCGTCTTCAAGCACTGACCATTGTTAAAGTTCCAGATCTTTAAACATCCATCTCTTCCACCAGTGAAGAGTCTGTAAACACAGCAACATGCTGTGGTGTGATAAAAACAGATTCTGAAAAGTGAAACATATCAGATCTCCACACACTGTACCTCCTCCCTTTGAGGTCAAACGTCATGCACGTGATGGCGGACTGATCACGTGTGCCACCAAACTCAAACATCTGACGACCGCTGTCAAAATCCCAGACTTTCACCTGGAACCAGCAACAATTTCACTTGTACAAATTGAATCATGACAAAAAAAAACCTGTATTTGTTCTCTGGTCGAGCTGGTCTTCTGTGCTCGTGATGTTGTAAAGTAATAAATCACTCACAGATCCTTCAGTGCAGCTGACAACTTGACGGAACTCCTCGCTGTAGCCGCAGCACGTCACAGGCTCGTTGTGTGAAACAGTCAAACGGCTGCAAATCTGTGGCCTTACAAAGGGAACAGATACTGAATAACATCTGGGTTAACATAATAGAGATGCAGTCATCTCTGAGGAGAAAATATCTAAAAATGCTCATTTCCAGCTCTATGTTTTTAGACAGACATAACACTGGATTAAACTCTCAAACACAATCTACACATAGAAACACATTCTATAAGCCTACGTGCTCATTTTAAAAGTTGTGCTAAAATGCTGACTGGAATGGAAAGCATGTGCCGTGAGGAAATAAAAAAGCTAATGTTGCGAATAAAACGTACTTGTGCAGTCGCTGAATGACTAGTAAACCTGCACCATTGCTTACTTGTACATTGGAGTACATTAACTGCCTATAGTACAACTCAAGACGACTGTTCTGGGAGAACCAACTGCGCTCGGAGCAGATAAATGTATAAAGAAATGAGCTCAACCCAGAAGAAGAAGGATCCGCCTGATGCCTGAGATTTTGTCTCGCACAGATTACTTTCACGTACTTGAATCTCATTCTTTAAAACTTTAAAATTGTGTTTAATATGGACATCTGACAGTCTAACATTATTTATATGACTTTGAAAATCTGTATTTTGGCCAAGAGTGGGATGTTTAATCTTCAAAATCCTCAGTTGTCCTATTTTTCAAAGTAACTTCAGAACACATTGGATTTTATGATGAATAATGCACAAAGGCACAACAACCAACCTTATCTTGAGTGAGAGCACAGCCATGCAGTCTGCGGCGATGAAGAGCGATTTCATGGCAGACGAATACCAACACGCAGATATGTCTCCATGAATCCCGCTCGCTTTAGGGTCGACCATAAACAGGCAGCACTGGTCCTGAATATCCCAGATCTGAAACAGAGGGGTCACCCAATGAAGAATGAGTTCATTTACTAAAGTAAAAGTAAGTAAATGTAGAAGTACTGCATTTCAATTCATACTTAACTCAAAATACAGAAGCAATGGTATCATGCACAATGGCTGTTGTTACTGTGTTACTCTCAAATATGGGCTATTACATGACCATTAGGTTTAACTGTATCGAGAAGGATGCTAGGACAAAGCTGACCCCCTGTCTCGCCAGGTTAAAGTGAATGGAAAAGAAAATCCTTGATCTATGTACTTTATTCGGATCCTCTCAAAAATTGTTGTCCTTGGATCATGCCCCACCCCTCTACAAAAATCAGATGGAAATCAGTTCAGTATTTTTTCACAGCCTTCTTAATGGAGGTCCGAACGCATTATTATATATATTGATTATACATTTGAGAGTTAATTCTAAATTTGTAAAGTAACCTTTGCTGGCATACTAAAAACAGTAAAGTAAACAGTATCATATCTTCCTCTGAAATAGCCAAGCTGAAGCAAAAAGTTGCCTGAAGTGTGATGTAGATGTGGCTGCATCTTTTATCCACACTAATAAAGGCTTTTTATTTTTCCACAGCAAGAGTGCCTTGTTTTATTTTCTTTTTTTGGATCTAAATTTATCACCCCTCTGCCATAAAGCACCTTGTGAGACTTCTTTTTACACATGTATCGCTCAATATATCTATATATCTCAGTTTATAGTACCGGTACGGTAATTCAAATGCTGAAACATAAAAAGGAGTCATGTCTCACTTTCACAGCGCTGTCACTGGAGACAGAGAAGACGTGACTGTCCTCTGAGGAGATGCAGAGGTGGACGATGGGAGCAGAGTGGCCTTTCAAAATCCCATTTGGTTTCCTAAAAAGAAAAAAAAACAGAGCCAGGAGGAGATGACTTTTTTAGGTTATGGTTCATGGTCTTGAAGAAACCCTGCTGAATTCTGCTTCCTCACCCTGAAAAATGTGGGTTCCACATTCGTATGAGTCTGTCCATGCCTCCTGTGACCAACAGGCTGTGCTTCCGACAAAGGTCAAAGGTCTTGACACCTTTGTAAATGTTGAAAACCGTCTGGTCGCAGGACGCCCGGAGCTGTGGGGTCCAGCTCATCTGCACCTTCTTGGTCTTCCCTTCATAGGAGGACTCTCTGATCTCACTCAGCTGCTGCTCGGCATCTGTTAAAGGCAGCACTCGGCCTCAAATAGGGAAAAAAGCTGGTTTATTACAAGGCCATTTGTGTGAGCATCGATCAAAATGTGCTTTTCGGAGGCAGGATAAGTCATTATCAGAATAAATGACTGAGCTGGTAAGTGGACATGCCCACGTACAAAGGCGACACACACACACACACACACAGGCATTTATTGGTGAATGTGATAAATGAGTCATCCCTCACAGCTCTCTGCAGGCTGCCTCTTGTTCAACACTGAGTACAATAGTGAGGACTTGATATTTATTTACCCTCCATTGCCGTGTGCATCTTTTTTGTGGCTCCTTCAGTACAGAGTGTGTAAGAACAGACGTCAATACGTCTTTTAAGTACAAAAATACAAATCTTGGCATTATTTGCAATCATCTGCATGTGCTGCCAACAAAGAAAAAAATCAAAGAGACAAACTGAACATAAATTACCTATAACAAGAGAAGAGCATTCTTCATTTGATGAGGAGACAACAGCTTGGAAACTTGGAAAATACTTGACCTGAATTCATAGGGAAGAGTTAGTTGTTCTGTCTATTCCAGAATTATTCTTTAACAAAAATGTAAAAAAAACATTACATGGTTTGTGCAGATTTCACATCACCTGTGTCACCCAGTCATGATGAACCTTCCATCTGACAAACGTCACATTGGGAGACATCACCGCGTTGTCAATCACTATGTTGGGAACATTTTCAACCTTTGGTAATTTATTCCATAACCTGTGAAAAGAGAAGTTGAGATGTTCAGTCAGGACTGAAACTGTTGAAACGTTTTCAGAGACTGGGCTTCACATTGGTACACTTATCATTTCTTTGTTCGACGGGGGAACTTATAGTTGGAAGCAAAGGTATAATTTTCAAACACATATTTGAGACACTCACTCACAACCTTGCTGTTTGTTCAGAAGTCCATTAAGGTCGAGCGAATCAGTAACTGTGACACTACTGTGAAAAACATGCTACTTGTTCGCATCCAGCTGACACTAGACCCTAGAAGGCACTACATTAAACTAGATCAAATTCAAGTACAACTTTTTAAGGGTGCAATTCAATTCAGTCCTGAATCATTGTAACAACTTGTAAATACTGATTTTATGATTATTTAAAAAAAAATCATTATTAACAAATGAATTCATTGGAGCTCAGACAATTATCATTAGAAAATGTTATCATAAATCATATTTCATTATACTTTTCTAAATATCTGCCAAAGCTAAATGTTTCATATTTTTATGATATGATCAAGTGATATTATAGAAAGAAATAAAAAATTACGTTTGATCAGCCAAGAACATAGAAGACAAATAAGAAACTAAACCAATCTGATTAGCTGATGATGGCTGACGTCTCCTTTGAACACAGCCAAGACTCTAATCTCTGACATTGAGTAGCTGCCAGAATAATGTTGGAAGAGATCTGATAGGATTACACTATAAAAAATATACTTTATATAGTAATAATTCCATTATAAAAGGAATATGTAGGTCTTTAGAAAAGCCCATTTACCTGAGTGTATCTCCAACAGAGGATATTAAAATGATGGTCACACATCCCTGAAACACAAAGACAAAACTTAACATCTCACTGTGTCAATTGAGAGGAATTTAGAAGGATTTAGCCTTATAACATTGTGTTTTTTAAATGAATTACCTCTGTGTCTCCATACAGAATACAACACTTATCAGGGCCGGTGCAGCTGTGAGGAAAAAAAACACAAACTGTGATGTAGGACTTAATGGGCCATTTTAAAGATACAGAATGTTAACATGTAGTTTGGTCACTCACCCGTAGTCTAATGTCAGAGGAACTGTGTCCAGAGCATTGATCTGACAATACGGCTCCAGAGTGGTGAGATCGTAAATCTGGATCTCTCTGTCCCTGCAAGTTAACAAAGACATGCACCATGAACACACTTTGCAAAATCTGGCAGATGACAAGAATAATACATTTACTCCATAAGTGATTCAATCTTTATGTGATTTATTTCATTGCACCCTTTCTTAATACCCTGTTGCAATCATCAGCTTGTTGTACTCAGTCATCAGAGTGAAATCACTGGCCCACTTTGACTTGCTGTTGGCAGCGTCTTCGATCTGTTGGGGATAAAGAAGGAACGTGACGAAAACGCAAACGTTCTTGTACATGAATTCTGCGGGGGGAGAGATCTGCAGTAAATACTATAGTACATTTTAAATGGTGTCAGCTAGTGTTTGTCAGAGAACCTACAATAAGTAACCTTATCATTAAATCCCATGCAAAGAAGCAAACCAACACTGTATTAATTCCACTAACAAGTATTTAACCATATATTTTTTCTGTTCACTCATAGAGCTCCACAGTCGCCCCCCAAAACAGTGTCCTGCAGTAAATACCCAACAGGACAGCAAAAGTCAGCTGCTAAAAATAGCCCCCAGCAAATGTATTGTTTATCCCTGCTTGAGTAACATTAGCTAAAAACTAGTGTCTAAAGAAATGTGATTCTTAAAAAGAACCAGTGAGCTGTTCTGTAAAGATTTGTGTCTTCAGGCTGAGAGCCACAGAGGATTCAATTATCCAGAGATTCTCTAACACATTGTTGGTTTTAGTCCTTTCATGGGATGAGTCGACTGTAATACAAATATTCATAGTATTAAGGTAAATTTACATACAAATAAATGTTTGGTCCACTGAGGTCGGAGCTCAGGGCTCCAGAAGCAAACAGTGCCGTCTTCTCGCAGCGTAACGATGGTGCCATCAGGGGTTGACTGGATTCTGACGATGGGAGCGCCCTGCCCCAAACCCTTCGTGGTGGCAGGCAGAGTAAAAGCCACCTGCTTGCTGCGTCTCACACTTTCCTCCTTCTCCTTGTGCTCCTGCAGCATGTGAGTGCAGAACTGACCCTGCATCGCATTACTGAGCGTCAGAAATGGTTGTGTTTGACCTGTGTATCCTGCATATTCACTACTTCTTCGACTCATGTTTAAAAAACAAATCTCTTACATTTTACCAGATATTTACTGTCTGATAATCTTATTTACATATCATTTTTCAGCTTTTAAATTAATGCAACCTTTAAAGTCAAGTCATTCATCAATTTGCATCAAGATAATTGTGTTTGTAGTGTTTGAAAAGCAGATTAGCCCAAAACACTGTGTGCAGGTCAGTTCCAGTTACACTTGCTCTACAAATCCTAAAGGAACTTCAGCTGCAGAAGAAATCCAGTTAGTTTTATTTTTTTATATGGGGGCTATTTTTCCATCACAGGTTAGTGGTGCTGGTACGCATGGAAATGTATTAGAACTAAGGCGATTCCCCTTGCACTGAATAAAAAGGCTGCATGCTTCATGAGAGACAAATATGAATTTCATCTCACCCATGAAATTCTCCCTTGGCCTGAATAATCTATCTTCTTAAATAACGCTTGAATCTGCTCGTTGCTCTGTGAAATTCAAAAGAACAAAAGAATAAAGAACAGTGACAGTTATTGTAAATTGATCATATAATTGCAAATGCTTGTCCTTAATTGCAAAGGAGCGAGACACGGAGAGCACGGAGGGAATTATGGGGGACAGTGAGATAAAAAGAAATGTCAGGCTGTCTCACTGCGTTAGGCAAATCTAAACACTTCTTCACTACACGTCCAAAATTCTTCGCGTCGATGCATCTCGAGCCGAAGTCCTATAGGAAGAAAAAACAGTCAGTATGTGTGACCCCACCATCACTGTGTTTCTAAAGATGCAGATCGAGCACTACCTCAAATGTTTGTTTCAGTCTCTGCAGGTTGTCAAGTGATATCGTCTCATCAATCTTATGGAGACAGGAACAACGGAGAATTTTTTATTAAAGCATTGAGCCAAGTTGATTGAATACTGTACGAGAGGAGCATGATACAGAATCAAATAGTAATTTTAATTAGCAGAAAATGTTCCTTCCATTTTTTTTCTCTCTGCACTCAAATCCACTCACCAGGCAGTTCACAAAGTCTGAGTGCTAAAAACACAAACCAACATTAGGGAGGAGACATTAACATGCTGCACGTTTAAACTGGAAACTGTGTAATTATCAACACACACCATTAGGGCTCCACCTCTGAGGATTGATGACTATGTGTAATGGCCACAACAACTATGACATGTCCCTGAGACGCCTGCATCAGGCCAGATGACAGGCCGCACTCTTTGCTTTAATGGCCTTCCGTCATTCTGACACAGTTTCCTGGCAACGGTTCCGTGAGCCGTGACACCCTTTGATCTATCATTAATAAATAACGCGGATAAACAGTCTAATTTCTCAAGGATGTAACTGGAGTCGACGTTTCCCTGCGGGATCTCCTGAACGGTTGAGATAATTGTTTAATCAGTCAAAGTGATGGAAGTGCTAAAAGCATTCATATAAACTCGACTGCTTTCCAAATTTCCTTTATTGGGAGTTGCATAACTTTGAAACTTGTGAGCCTGTTCTGCCTAAACTGTTATGGCACATTATTCATTACATTAAGCAGGAGAGAGTGACTGACATCTGCGACCGCTACCGTCAGACGGTGCATTTGCAGCAACCTCCTGCATCGTTCTATCATTCCTGTCGGCTTGAAAGCTTGAATTTGAGTCAGCTGGGGTTCCTTTGGAAGTAGCTGGCTCAGCAACTGTGTTTGTTTTACTTTGGCCTGAAACGTGGCCGTCCCCTCCCCAGCCTCTGGGATATACACTGTCCTGCACTATGTGCTGTCGGGCTGCAAGCAAACCGATCATGAATTTAATTTAAAATGGCATCTTTGGCTTTGCCTCACATTCGTATTGCAGCTGGTGAGATATGTAAGATGAGTTTGAGTCTGCAGGCTGGTGTGGTGGCAATGTGACACTCTAGTGACACCTTGAGGCCAAAAGCAGCTAAAGGCATGGCACCACAGTGGCAAAGACAAATGACACGTTTTGATAAGCACAGATACATTTAAATAGGTCACATTTATTCCTCTGATTTCACTTCCAGATGTTTTTGGAAAGTGTACCTTGAGGCTGCAGAGTCTGCGGATTGAATTGATACTGCGGTGCTGTCCTCTCATGACTGAAGCCTTATCTCCAAGTGTGACAGAGTGTCTTCGCCTGTTTTGCCTCAGCAGCTCTCGGATCAACCATTCAGGCTGCCCTCCACCGTCCTCATCGCCCCCACTTCTGGGCCCAGACACGTTCCTCGCCCTCCCCTGTTCCAAGAGGATGCTGGAGGATTTGAGATGTTATTCTGATGAAATGCATTTCCTCTTCTTGTGGCACATGTTGTCATAGGTAAATATTTTAATTTTTTAAATGATAAAAACATAAGGAACGTATTGTATCTTTACAAGAGGTCATACAAACTTTCAGAAAGAAGTGCTAGAGGAAACATCACTGAAATCTATTTGTACTGTGTGTCCCATGTGAGCAGACTTCCTGTGTAACATCACATATTACTCAGTCCTGCTACAGATGGCTCCAGCACCATGACAACAGTAAACATTTTCTTAAACGAGACAGAGATTAATGCTCGACAATAGAAAGGTAGAAATATGGTCTCATTATGGCTGCTCTCGACATTACAACCTCAGATCAGATACATTTAGCATTAAATTGAAATGGTTTGACAACTTTACTGTAAGAAGATCAACAAAACAGCAGATTACCTGGTCACATGTTGGGTTTCTAATCTTCCAGAAGCTGAGGAGGAGCGAACCCTTTTCCCCATATTGTTAGACGATGTGTTCTTAGAGGAGGATGTGGACGAAAAAGCGAACTTTAAAACCCAACATTTCCTCAGACAGAGCTCCAAACAGACGTTAATCAGACACATCTGACATTAGTCTACCTGACACTCACTCCAGCATTACACCTGAGAAGAGCAGGTGGCCCCATGGTAACTAAGAAACCAGGCGTGACAACTGAGACAACTCAAAACAACAGGTCCTCTGTGCTTACAGAGAAACAGCTTTGTGATCATATTAAATATGGATTCAAACTATTGTTGCTGACATTGCATCAGTCAACTATTGTTCAGGTTATTGTAATTTCGTTTGTTTTATTGAACATTAATGTATTTTTATGCTTTTATTGCTGCTGTATTTTTAATTCACACATAATTCATATCCCTGCAAAACAGAAGAATAATGACTCAAACAAATGTATCGCTGGTGATATTTCAAGCAGATAGAATTTATTACATTGATGCAAGAAGTTTTATTCTGTCATATTTTCAAACTGCAGATAGACTGCATAATGTCACATTGCAGAATATGGTGTGATTAGACAAAGTTGCACTCAAAAATAAGCATATCAATTCTGTGAGATTCTGTATTATATATATTATCCTTTTTGAGATTTTTGCAACAATATAATAAATTGCACAAAAATACAAAACCCAGATTCACAAACTCGAGCATTTAGGTTCAGACAGGTCCTGGCCAGCTTGATATCCGCTCAGGTGAGCAGGACTTAAGCACAACAGCTGGAAGTTTATTTTCCTCCGCTCCACTGTTTGGATAAGCATCTTTACTCATAAAGGTTTTGACAGCTTCCTTTTCTGCAAAATCAAGAGATGAAAATCACAAGTTAGATGCCTGTCAAATTCTGTAAGCAACTTGTTGAAATTCTCAGAGGCGTAAGCGACGCTGACCTCCAGCAGGTAAAGTTCTGTGTAAGCACTGCAGCTCCTGTGGAAACAGAGACTTTACCACAGATGCAACATTCGTGACTCTCTTCCCACAAAACCGGTCGTAGGCCGTCAGGTCTGATCCTCTCTGCTGAGTGTGGACATGCCGTTGCACAACAGTTGGAACTGAAACACACAGAAGATCAAATAAGAGAAATTATCACAATCGCGTTTATGTGCATCATCAGTGATAAATATTTGTGGTACCGATGCCGCAGCGGGTCCTGCTCGGGTCTGCGTTGCAGCTGTAGTGAGAGCGGTTGCCCATCAGTTCAGGTTTTGGCTTCGGCTGACGATAATTGTCCCTCATCTCTGTGTCAGGGATGCGAGGTACGTGACGCCTGCTGTGCAGAGGTGCAAGTCGTCCTTCTGCATTATTAACGTGATCACATCCTGTCAAAAATAAGGTCACAGCAAGCGGAAAATAAACAGTTGAGAGAAATATTGTGACTACAGTAATGGTTTGATTTGTGCTTGCATGTCTTGGGTTATTCTAAAGTGCTTTCACGTTATGAATAAACAGACTTCTATACCTTGAGGCTCACTTGTGAAGTCACATCTGTATGTGGAGCAGTACAGTGCTGTCAAGGCCTTCTGGATCTCCCCCTCAGATGGGGGACATTTCCAAGGCAACTGGACATACTCAGGGTTTTGTGTAGCATCCCTAGGCAGCCTCCACGTCATGAAAGACTGAAGGGAAATGGCTTGATTTGAAGGTTACGATACACTGTGAGAGGTCGAGCATGGCATACAACTGCAAACATCAAACTGAGGCAAAGCCAAATACCAACCTGACTGGGATGTGGGTTGTTTCTCCTCTGTCCCGAGGCTGTTCCTGTGTGAATGCATTCAGGTTTACAGGCTGCCTTCCAGCAAAACTCCTTATGGTACACAGTTGAACCAAATGGTCCAGACTGTGAAGTAGACCCTATAAATGATGTTGACATCGGGCACCTATAGCAATGCATCAACAAATCATTACAAACACACACACACACACACAGAAATTTAAACTTGACCAGAAGCCTAGAGGCTCGTTATACTCACAGAAGCACCTCTGCAGCTGAGTTTGGCCTGAAGACAAACTGTCTCCTGTGACACGTCTCATACGGATCCCACCACTGTTCCACCTCTACAAAAGAATTCACTGTTACATCACAACTCTGAATTCTTTATGTGCAGCATACACCTGTCACTGTGGGTCAGGCTGCAAAGACTCTGTTTCAATGAATGTCAACATGGCAAAACATGAGCTGGATTCACAGGCTGGGAGATGGGAGCAGAATACAAGGTACAACTTAATAAACCTAAATCAATCAAGCATATAAGTAATTACTGCTATTATATTTTTTTGTGTTTTCTATAATAATAATAGTGTAACAACGCAAAAATTTAAATAATTTATAGTTTTCTTTTCTCTGATTGTGGTTTGTTAGAGAACTGTTGTGTTTGTATCTCAACTGCAAAGATAATGCTTTAAGTCTTATTTTTGATTTATAAATTTCTATTTTTTTCACAATATGAACTTTACATTAAATAATTTCAAAACATTTTATCTGAGAAACATTTTCAAAGATTGGACAAACTCAACCTTAAACTAGAAAAACAAGGTTTTGGAACCGGGACAGTGGAAGTTAATACTTATACCTTATAGCATTTCTATGAAAAGAAAAAAATTAAACGTAACACTCTGATAATTACATTTACAATGCTGTATGAAAATTAAAGCATAATTGCAGGAATGATCATAAAGTACATGACTCAGGACCAAATAATGTGTGGAATTATCCCAACTTCCCAACACAGTCTCAGTGCACATTATAATGGAAATTAGCATATTACTTCCTGGTTATATTAACTCATTTCTTGCTGTCATTACACATCCTTGGTTTAACTTTACCTTTGGCTGCCATCGACGACTGCATTGTGTTAGAGTTGGTTCCAGTGTAATAAAAACCTTTCCATCTCCACTGCCAGATGAAAGTTCACTTCACGGGAAGCTTTCTGAAAAGTGAATTTGACACAGTGGGTGTAAAATTTGAGCTTGTAAGTATTAAAAAGTTTCCCTCTCAAGTATTAGTTTGAATCTACACAGAGGCAGAGTGGATCCCAGCAGGATGTTTTCTAGGCGCTGTGGTTATGGAGACCTACAACACTTGAATGCACCCAAGCTGCTCAGCAGGGGAGGTGTTGCATTAAAAATGTAAGATTGTCACAGATGCAGAATTTACATCTGTTAAGGATGGTGGAAAAAACTAAGTGCATTTAGGTAAGTACTCTTCTTGAGTAACATTTTTAGGTACTTTGGGTGATTACATTTTATGCCATAACCTTCAACTTTCCAAAGAGAATTATTACATTTGTAATATCACGTTTATAATATATCTGTCTATATTTGAAAGCTAAGATTAGATTTTTCTTTTAAAATTAAAAACATTGGATCATCATTGTATGCACCCTGTCAGTTCCTTCATGCCTGAGGGCAAATTTCAATAACACAACAAACAGTTTTACATTTTCCGCAACACATTAATGCATTATTGATGGTGTGAATGTGAAGCCTATGAATAGAGGTGACTTTTTGGTTTTTTCTCTTTTGTAATGTATAAGGTATTACTTTGATAAAGCATATGATAATTACAAAGGGGTTAGGGTTAATAAAAGTATCAAGGTATCAGGTACACGGAAAAGAGATGCTGTGGGTTAACGTTTAAAATGTACATTTTCAATGCTGTGAGAGTAACAACTACATTTTCATCTTTTCCATTGTCATCATAACATTCATCCATAACCTACAAGGGTGCATGGGATTTCATTCTACCTTTATGACCATAATGATATTTGATTATATTTGAATATATGTATTTCTGTAGTCTGATACATTTGTAATTACTACAAGATTAAGATTAAGATTTGTTTAAAATTAGTCTTAATCTTGTAGTAATTACAAATGTATCAGAATACAGAAATACATATATTCAAATATAATCAAATGTAATTCAGATATGGTCATAAAGGTATAATGAAATCCCATATAATTAATATAACAAAAGATTAAATATCAGAAATAAGACATATTTTATTTTTTGGTAAGACATATTGCACAATCCCTCCCCTGGTAATTTTTATATTTAATCTTATTTCCTATTTTTATATTTTTTTTATCTATACTTGCACAAACGCACCACAGTTAATTCCGTGTATGTGTAAACCTGGTTGTCATTGAACCCCTATTCTGATTCGCAATTATATTTTATGACACTGAATGCTTGAAAAACTTTTACTTACGAGTGTAACTTTCTAAAAACAAATAAATCTCATCACACAACATGCAAGTCACAGTGTTCACTAACAAACTGAATGTTGCAGTGAGTGAAATCTGCAATTTAAACCTCAGCTAGAAGATGTCCACTTCATGCACTTGAGGTTTTTTAAGACACACGATGGACAGATTTCACTCGATCACATTATCTCCAGTGGAGAATGTGTTTTATTCACACCAACACACACTCTGCACTTACTTCCCATCGTTCTCTGGACCTTCGTGCCTCTCTTCACTGACATTCAGCCACTGGCTGTTTGTTATTCAAGTTTAGCGCCGTCGCCCCCTCGTGTTTTCCAACAACCAGCAGGACGGAGAGTCCGCGTCCAATGAGATGATCCAGCGAGTTGGCGGTAGCCAATATCCGTGAGCCGGAGCCCGACACACGGGTAAACACACAGGCATCGTCCCTCCTGAAGACCGCACATTGAAGGAGCTACTCAGCCCATTGTTTAAGACGCAGCGCTGGCTTCGTACAGAGCTGCAGGGGTAAGAACCGCAGCATCTCACCCGCGAACACAGACACCGAGGCTTGTTTTAAGGGATGGGACACGGAACTGTGTTTTCACCGTACACGAGTGTTTTAGTTCAGCATGGCCGAGCTGGGGAAGACGCTGAAGAAGCCCCAGCTCTCGATCAACACCGTCTTGCCAACTTAGCTTCGCGGTTACAATAACACGTACTTTAGCTGCGTTCTTAAATTAAACTAAAAACACGGGACAACTTCCCCCGGTGATCGAGCTGATTTACCCGCGCAAGACTGGTGTTGTGTCCCCAGCTAACTCCCGTTAGCCCAACAATGGCTGATGCTACGGCCGTGTGGCTAGCTCTTAAGCTAACGCTAGCCAGAAGGGGAAGAACTGCGGAGGCAGCCCGGGTCCAGGTGGATGCAGATGGGGGATCTTTCCCTCACTGTCCATCGCGATAGTCGCTGGATCTTTACACCCAGTGGTCGGCGGTGTCTTTAAAAGGCCTGCGAGGTTTAATATGAGGTTCGGAGAACGGGATGTGAAAATGCGGAGGGCGTGCGCAAGAAGCCCGTTAGCCATTGTTAGCAGCGCAATCAGCCATTTTAATAATCGTCTCATCAAAATGAGCTCCGTAGCATGCTAGCTCCCTGCAGCTAGCTAGCGCACGACACAAAGCGGCATGGTGGCCATACTGGCTAACAGCTAGCGAACAATCAAAGGCGATGAAAGCAAATGCTAATGTATTCATCTGCAGCCCCGAGCCTGTTAGCATCGTGATATATTAACGAGAAGCTACCGATAATAAAACGACATGTGCGGCTTTTCATGGAGTCTGCGCCATGTGTTTGGATCGATGCTGGCAGGGAAACACGTAGACCAACGAGTAGCTGAGTGTTCGTATTTAAAGAAGCATCGTGTCGGCCTCTTCATACAATGGATCATCAGTCACCCTAGACACCCCCCACCCCCTCAATTCAAACAATGGATGGAACTGACAAAGCAGGAGGCACAGATAGCTGCAGGGATATTTGGATACTCCCACTGCCCACGCATGTCTGGACTTGAACACAATATATTATTTTAATCATTTATTACTTCATTCTCTCTCTGTCTGTTTAGTGTGGAAAGATGGGAAAGGATCCAAAGAAGCCGAGGGGCAAAATGTCCTCTTATGCCTACTTTGTGCAAACCTGCCGAGAGGAGCACAAGAAGAAGCATCCCGGTGCCAGTGTCAACTTCTCAGAGTTCTCCAAGAAATGCTCTGAGAGATGGAAGGTAAAATAAATCACATTTAATGTCTTATTTCAACAAAAAAAATTAAATTACATTTTTTTCTCTTTAATCTGTTTAAATCATCTGATTGTTTATGGTTGCTTGTGTTTTTTCTCATAGACGATGTCACAGAAGGAGAAGGGCAAGTTTGAAGATATGGCCAAACTAGACAAGGTGCGCTACGAGAGGGAAATGACAAGTTATATCCCTCCCAAGGGCCAGAAGAAGAAGCGATTCAAGGACCCCAATGCCCCCAAGAGACCACCGTATGTGGCATGATCTCAACTATCATAACAATGTCTTTTTTTTCTTTCTGATAATACGTTCTAAGTTAAAACGCTGACACGTTTCTCTTCCCACAGGTCTGCATTTTTCCTGTTCTGTGCAGACTTCCGCCCCAAGGTCAAAATTGACACTCCTGGACTCACCATCGGGGACACGGCAAAGAGGCTGGGAGAAATGTGGAATGGCTCCTCTCCCGAGAACAAGCAGCCGTATGAGAAGAAGGCTGCCAAGCTGAAGGAGAAGTACGACAAGGTAAATTACCATGTCATTGAAGCGAGACCTGTTTTTTTTTTAATTCAATAAACACTTATAACTGTTCAGTGAATCAGGCTTCTTTTAAATAACGATGACTTGCTTTTCCACAGGATATCATTGCTTACCGCACAAAGGGTAAAGTGGAAACTGCAGCAGCTGCAGCAGCAGCTGATGATGATGATGAGGACGATGAAGAGGAGGGAGACGATGACGACGAAGATGATGATGACGATGACGAGTAAATCGTAAAGGGATGGGACCTGGAGTTTTGTTTATGCCATATAACCCTAATATACTCAATTCACCATCTTGAAACAGAAAGTCAGATTGAACGCGAACATGTGTATATTTAATGTTTTTAAGATGTACAGTGTTATGCTCCTTTTTTTTTTGTAAAGTTAACACTACATATCTTAAGTTGGAGATTTTCTAGTGGTAGTTCTTTATCCCTGTTACAATTTAGAAGGACTACAAATCGGTAAGAAAGTAACTAGTCTATAGGTGTTACAACTCAAAAATAAGATTTCTGGGTTGGTAGTGTATTTTTATTTTATTTTGGAAAAAAAAAATGTATGTGCTGTCCCAATGTCTTTTTATTGTTCTTTGAATACCACTCTAATATCAAATGCAGCTGTCGACATTCAAGAATGTCTTCAATAAAGGTTGTTTTTTAAAGAAGTTTGCTGTGATGTTTTTTGTCAAGTACACACATTAGTACTGACAATGATTTGTAATTTAGAAAATGACTCGGATTAATACAATAATTTTAGAAAATATTGGAAATACAGAGTGACAATGAATTACTTGCATATCTTCATAAACAAGTAAAAAGAAAAACATGCATATTATAATACAAAATAAAGGGCTGGGGCTCGTAAAGTGTAAGGATTGCTAACCAAGAAGGTACCAAGTTTATTGTCTCTTGTTAACCTTGAACAGCTTTTTCTTCTTACCCAAATAACCTTGAACAGCAGCAGTGCTTCCTGGTTCACCAGAAGGTGGCGCTGTGACAAAGTCAATTCTTAAAAGTTAAACCAAAGCTACTTAGTTACTGAGCAGAATCCACAGTGACTGACAAGATATCCAATGCAAAACAATGATACAGTGGAGGCATGAACATAACTTTTAGTTGTAAATGTTAAAAAGCATTGTTCTCTGTCCCATTAAAAATAAAATCAGCCACATGAACATAACAGGGAACTCTAACCTCTAACCCTAAAAACTCAGCTCAAGTTTCTTATCTTTTAACTTGAAGAAGTGTGTGTGAATTGAATTTCACATTTCAATAAAAAAAATGGAAAATCTGTGGCCCTTAAATCGTCTTATGCTGAGAAGAAAATCATGAAGTGAACTGTTTAAATCACACAGCAAAACAAAGTCTTTTACATCAGGGACCCAGGAACCCTGTCTGCCTCTATACTGAATGTAAATGTGTTTGAATGATCATTTACCTGCCTGATTATTGGTGAAATTCCCCTCAAGTACATTAAATCTCTACATTGTAGTTTGTATTAAACCAACTGAGGGTGTTGGGTGCAACACAGTATATTAAAGGGATGTAACACGCACTTTATGAGCATGACAAATATGAATAGCTTTTGGCTGAGTTACACTGACATCAGAGACACAAACTTCTGTGTTGTGCACTTATTTGACCACAGTGTCGATGGAAAAGTCTTTTTTTGTGTGAGTGCAGGCAGAGATCGGATATATTTCCCTTTGCCTGTAACTGGAGACTCACAGTCTCCCAGTCACAGAGGCCTCACGGTCACTTAAAGGGGTTTTAAATGTCCGTTAATCAGCCTGCTCTCAGCAGCTTTGCCCTTTGCAACACAAAGAACTGTGCTCCACTCAGTAGTGTTGGTCACTGTGGGACTCACCTCAAGCTTTCCTCCCCTACCTTAACATTAGGATTACAACTTTAACAATGGTGGTAGCAGTTACCATATACTATACTTAATAAATATATTGTGTATAACAAAGATAAACCTATAAGAATACATTTGCAATGCTAGTCATGTGTCATATGAGGTTTGATTTATGTCGTGTCCATGTCTGTGTCAATTCAGTTTCAACACCCTGTGTCATGTCAGCTCTTTTGAGACCTGTGATTCAGGGCTGCAGTTTCTTTCCTGTCCCGTCACGCATTGAACAAATGCCTCGCAGTCTCTGAATGATTCCCCCGTCTGACACGCAGTGAGAAAGACTCCCTGTCGTCTACCTGACTGCAGGCGACTGCTCAAACAGTTCATTTCATCTCGACAAAGAGGAGCCTCTAGTGGCAAAATCCATGAAGAGAATATAAAACAAATTGATTCAGCAAAAGCAATGTCAGTTATATTATGCTCTTTTGTTACCTCCTATAGAAATTGGGCTGATTTTATAAAGAAAACAAGGGCGTGTTTGATTGAGATGATCAATTGATTGACTATGGGGCATATAATAGATATAAGAACAACTTTGAATCTGGTGCATTTTGCTCTTTTAAGGACCTTTCTTTTGTGCAGGATTTCCATGGAGTGATGTCAAAGGGGCGTGTCAGTCAGGATTTCGAGCTAAAGAGGCTGAGTCACTTATAAAGCTGTCACTATGGATACAGCTTTTATAGTTTTCCATTTGTTGCTCTTCCGTGGAAGTAATGCTGTGCAGTTTCCAGGACTTTGCTCCTCAATGCCATGTCTGTTTTGTCTGTGCCCAGGATCTTTTTTCTCTCTTGCGTGATTGTGACCAAAGGACTTTGGAAGTAAACCTCATGATGGAATCTACTGGGCAACAGAGAAAACATTTAATTTTAACGTTTCAGTTTTTGGTAAGTTGGTCTGTTGTTTCTTACATTACAGCAGTAATTTGATTTAAATCAATTCCTGTCTAATTTAATGTCATTTGTGAGGTTCGAGTGCATTTAGATGCTTAAAAAGAGGGTTTTTTCACTCGCAGTCATTTCTTGCTTGTTTCTTGTCTTTTAGGTGGTTAGTATTGCATCCACTCATGGACCCTTATCTGGAAACTCAGTGAACATGAGCAGTGAGATGCAGTTAGCAAATTTCGTCTT